CAAGGATTTATTAATCAGCCTGATTTGGTTTGGGAGAAATTCAACGAGGTAAGAAGCGTGTCTTTTCATATATTTACCTTGGATTTTTTCCAACAGGGATAAACTGCAAATTATCATCTTCTCCCTTTTTCCTAAGCACATGTTGTTTGCTATGTTTGATAGTGTCAAGTAGCATTAAATTTGGTATAATACTATACTGTTGCCTACCCCGTTGCTATATTTGGCCTTTGCATGTCTTGCTGCCTCTTATAAGGAAGGACAAACAGTATAATGCAGCTCTATTAAGAATCTATTTGTCTTTTTCCAGAAGTTAGTGTATTATTACTTGAATGCATTGCCTATTAACTTTGCGTTCTCAATGTTAGGTGAATGGAAACACGATATATGTGACTAGCAATTTCAAGGAATTCAAGGTTGAAGATAATGTCAACACCACATGGGATCAACAGAGTGCTATGGACAGTACTGCAGTATGTAGTTCTTTGCCTGTAATAGAATGTTATGGATTTGTACCAATAGCGTTTGTGAAACTAACTTCAGCTGTTACTCTCAGAACTTTCTGGCAAGCGTGGACACAGAACAAGGACATCCAACTTTCAAGTAATATTTATGTTTCTTCTTTTGTATATATTAAATGAGAATGGAACACTGCAGATCATATTTCGTTAGCTCTCCTGGTGTCTTTTAATTGGCAGAATAGCGTTTTCGACCAGTCTGTCTGTTGATAATTCAACCTTTGCCTTGTTTTGTCTTCCTGTTCTAGCATCAAAGCAATCCTATAATATGTCGTCTCAAACTGTTTGCATCAGTAGAAGTTGCTGACACGTGGCGTGAAACAGTAATTTTGTTTTAACTGTAGTGCTGACTCTAAGGATTCCTTAAAAGTTGATACACTTATATTTGCAACCTTAATTTGATAGCATGAATATATCTACTTGGTGATGGCGCTAAGATGTATTGTTGTGTGGCAGTTCTGATTTACAATTGGCAATAGCTCTTCAGCAACAGGAATTTGAGCAACAACAACAACAGGCACCACAGAGAAATCAGAACCCCCAGCAACCAGCTGCAAATGGTGGGTCAAGGTTGATTACTGGTCCTCAGGTAGGCTCGAAATCTTCTGATATTTTAGTTTTGCACATTTGATAACTCCTGACTTGGAAGTACTTTCGACTAAGAGAGTAAATTACTTCCGTTCAGGTACCAAGAACCAGCGCGAGACCTATGTCTTCGTCCCCCAGGCCAGATCCGAAGTCATCAAAAGACAAGTGTATTGTGATGTAAAAGACTGCACCTCTTTAGTGTGTTTGTGAAGTAGCAAACGTAACTTTTGTCTTCCTAATCACTCTCGTGTTAACTGAAGTAGCAAACGTATTGATTCAAGTTACATTTTCGACTTTTTTTTTTGTACAGAACGTATATATAGCAGGGAAATTCTGGTTTCAAGGCAAAGTCAACAATTTTCTTTCTAACATTGCTCACATGTTACACCCTGTTGCACTTTCTTTTTGACGTTTGCTCACATACATTGCTAGAAAAAAATGCTGCCTTTTCCAGTCTGAGAATCTCCATCTGCTCTAAATGGGCGTGGGTTGGAATTCTTATGTTAGTTTGATTGTCTGTTCTAAAGACGTCTCTAAAGATTTAGAATTCCAGATTCATAAACTTGAAATTCTGATTATGTCTCGGACATAAGCAACTATGTCAGTATGGAAAAGTGCGTATACACACATCATCCTTCTCAGATGATTACACCTGATACTTTGTTGGTTTTGTACATGCTTGTGACATGGCAATATAAGTTAATGTGGGGAAATATCAAATATGTACTTACTATTAAACCTTTAGAAAGAATCTTCAAGTGGTGGATACATCATATATAGTTTTTCACCATAAATAGTCATGTCCCATAATTAGTGCACTAATTAAATTGCAATATAAGGCTTAATCCATCGGTGGTCTCTTAAAATTGACATCAACTTTTACTTAGACACCTGAACTAGATTTTGTTCATTTTAGACACCTCATGTAAGGTCCTAATGTGTCATTTTGACACTTTTTGCTGATATGGCATAGTGAGTATGACCCACTCATTAACCGCGCGTTAGGCTCTTTTTTAGCCAATTTTTATTTTATATTTCCTTCTTCTTCCCCATTTTCTCAAACTTGAACTTCTTCCACGGTGAAATATATTCATGATGCCACAAACGAGGAATCTAATTCCAAACGTCAGAGCTTTCCTCAAGATTTCCCAAGGATGATTCCCTTCTTCCTCAATTTAATTTGAGAAAAAAAGACTGAAATTTGAAGAAAAAAAATGAAAAGTTGGGGACGAATAAAAAGTCACTAAAAAAATGAGATAATCCCATTAAAAGAAACTTAACAATGTGATATGGACACGTACACATTTGTATTTTAAAAGTTCATTGGATCTTAAATTTTTATTTTTTTAGCAATAAAATCTGTAGATTTTCTTTTAGTAATAAAATTTGTGGAGCTACATTTATTTGAAAAAAATTGAGTTACACAAGTTCACTAAAGTTATACCATAGAAGGATTGAACAATATTTAAGTAAAAGAGATGGAGAGAATTTTGGGTATATGATAGAAGATTAAGGGGTGTGTGCTACTGTGCTTGTTTCTCCAACGTTGTAGAAGACGATGGGGGTGGGGGTGGGAGATGCTTCTCCAAAAGATTTTTTAAGGTGATTTAATCCTTTTTTTGTTATTATTTGAAAAAAAAATGCCACGTATCATCGATCCATTGGCCATCTTTTTTTTATTTTTATAATTGATAGTTTATTATTTAAGAATTATTTTGAACAAATGAGTGTCCTCATTTAATTTGACACTTTACACATCATCCGTGAGTGAAACACACTCACCATCATATTTTTTGCTGAATGTAAAAAAAGTGTCAAAATGACATATCATAATCTTACATGAGGTGTCTAAAATGAACAAAATCTAATTAAAATGTCTAAGTGAAAATTAATGCCAACTTTAATGGGCCACCAATGGGTTAACCCAAAATTTTGCATTGGAACACAAAAATAAATGATTTTAGGTTAAACATGATTAGAAAGTTTTTATTGACTTTGGAGTATATCATTAATTGTTGGAGACAGAAAAAAGCAAAAGAGAAGATATTAAAATTTCATATGGCAGAGAGAAAAGTCGGGATATGTGGGGATAATGAAAGGGACAATACCCCTCTACCTCCCACCCACCCCACCCCCTACACAAATTATTTTTATTTTACATAAATTTTCAAAAAAAAGAAAAAGAAAAGAGAGTTATGTGTAGGGGACCATACTAACCTTTTGTCTCAATCATAGGACTGAGAATATGACAACCCTACAGCTATGATGTTACCCCACCTCCATCTATTCAACTAACATTTACTGTTCACTATTGCACTATATCTACTTTTTCGATATTTAGAGTTTCGACTAAATTCGAATGACAAAAATCATTCAAGGGTGATGCTTTCAATAGAACTTTCTTTATATTCAAATCTCGAATTCAAGATCTTTGGTTAAGGATGAAACAGTTACACTGGTGCACCAACTTTCCACCCTTCTTTTTCTTGACAATCTTGTTGAAATTAGTGTTAATTATACACGTCATTCTCAATAGAAATATGTCTATGGTTTTATGGTTTATTGAGACTGATTCGTACTACTAAAATAATGACACAAGTTATGTTAATTGATTTGTTGTAAATACATGAAACAAGTTAATTAGTTTTTATCCTAATTAATTATTTCAGCCTCAATGTGGAATGAAAATAACTTTAGAATTTTAGGATAAGTTAATTCGTGATCATTTTTATTCTAAAATTAATCATCCTTTTTCCTAGTATCATACAAGCTCTTAGTTTCCATCCTAATTAGTTATTGCATCCTCTCTAATTAGTTTGATAATAAGGAACAATTCTAAAATAAGAATCAATATTAATGAAAAACTAAATAAAAGTGTACCCACATTCTTTATAATAATAAAATAATAAAAATAAAATAGCATGTCTTTTTGCGATTGAAATGACATGATAAAATAGTACATGGTATTTTCTTTTGCTTTTTGAGAAACTAGATCGAAAATAGTTTGATTTTCTGGAAGACTATTTATGAGAACTTTTTTCCGTATCTGATATTTACATTAAACCAATGATAATACAACAAGTGTCTTAAACACATTTTTAAAAATCTCCGTCAAACTATAATTAATTAGCACATTTAGACCTAATTTAGTACTTAATCATGATAAAGTATAGTATTATTTTGGTGGTATATATATCGAGTGCGAGTAAAAAAAAATTCGACTAGTTGTATCAGTTAATGATCACGGCCTTTTTTGAATCGACCATTATTCAAATACGGAATTTTAGTGTTTGTACACTTTTAGAAATTATAAACAGACACATAATATGGCACTACTACTTTTTTCATGGCTGCAGAAATCATTAAAGGAAAAGACTATCATAAAAATTATTGAAGAAAAAGAAAAGTTATATTCATTTTCTGATCTTCTAAAAAGAAAGAAAAAAAAATAAATATTCCAAATTGTCACTACAAATTCTTTGTATGATGGAGTGATATTTTGTCATATTCCAAATTGTCAGTAGAATTTTTTTTTCTTCCAAATTGTCAAATATGTAGTAATAATGCAAGTTTAATAATATAATAATAATTAAATAGTAGAATAATATATAGTGATGGTAAATTTGTGAACATTTATGAACCTGGATCAAAAGTATACGTTTCAATTAATTGAAAGTAAAGTATGATTAACTAGATATCACAATATCTAAAATTAAAATTTATTAATAATTGAAGGACCAACAACAATAATATACTGGAAAATCTCATTAAGTGGAGTCTGGGAAGAGTAGAGTGTACGCAAACCTTACTACTATCTCGAGGAGGTATAGAGATTGTTTTCGAAAGACGTAATAATTGAGGGACCAAAAAAAAGTGCCTAAAGTTCATGGAATAGAAGTCTCGGGTACATCCAATAAAGTTGAAACGATGCAGAGAAGAGATTAGCATGTTCTCTGCGCAAAAATGACACGTACAAATAGAAAAAATAGAAGTCTCGGGTACAGTTCTTAAAAGAAGAGAAAATTGTTGTAAATAATGCCTTTTCATTTGAATGGATCTTATACAATATGATTTAAATTATGTCGTTGATTTTAAATTTCTAATAATGCTCAATTACTATGCTATCCTCATCATTACCTTGAATAAAAATGGGAAAGTTCCCATTGTTCTAAAAATAACAAAAGAAAGATTCGAGTTAGAAATTAATTTTTATTTTTAAAACTTTGGTGTTACGTTTCTACTTATAGAATTTCAAATTAAAACTATAAAGACTTTGTGTTTTAATCAACCATTTCGAGATTAAGTTTAATCATTCAAGTAGGGATTAATTAATGACTTCTTGGAAATATTAGCATGTACTTATGGAGAGCTTTTTAAAATGCATTATGAATTAATGATAAAAAATGATAACATAAACAAGGAGTCAAATCATCGAATTTAGATCAATTTGTTCAAAACAAACTCCTTCGCTAAAAAACCACATTATATATAAAGTTATATTTTTATGTACCTATAATAAATATCGAGTCAGAAACCCTAAATAAAATTTGAATTTTTTAAAACCAACCAACTCATCTAGGAAGCTTGAAATTGTAGCATATAATAAACTATTTGAATTAAGAGACATTATCCATTACTACCAAACATTTTCTTGACAAAAAATATTATTTCTTGTTCCCTCCGCTACTTCACCACATAAACCAAACTAACACAATTAATTATGTAAAGAAAAAAAAAAGGTTTTATTTCACTTTCTACTTTCATATTATGTTTGCTTACTCCTAAATCAATAGTGAAATAATATATATCAAAGTATTAATATATGTCTAATTACTATATATACCTACATTTAATTCACAATAAATTATTTCCATAAATACAAAACAAAATAATTTCCTTAACATCCATCACTCAACATGAAGATCATCGGAGAATTTTAATGTAGCTTAGTTGGTTGGCTATCTGAACTTTCACGTTGTTGGTGAGTGTTCGATTATCGATCTTGAAATCCCCTCCCTATTTCTCCTTCTCTATACATGAAGATCATCGAAGATTAGAAAAGTAAAATAATAACTTCAATAATATAATGCGATATTATGTGAGCTTCGTCGCCTAGCTAAAACCTTAGCTTTTTCACATCTTTATTATTAGTGGTCCACTTAGGGGAGATTTGTTTAATTTTGATATGTATATGATATAATATAATTTTGATTTAGAAGGGGAATTTATATGAAAAAGACTTTAATATAATTGTTGTTTATGAAACATATGTGACATAGTAATTAGTAGGTAGGGGGTCATGTGTGGCCTAACAAACAGTTAACACATGGGGGGGTTTATTGGTACATAAAATCGTTACTAAATTGCGTAGAAAATAGACTAAACTTGAAAATTATATACCAGCCATGGAACTGTGACAGCTCAACTCCTTTTTTTCCATTTAATATATAGTTAGAAATTAGAATATTGAAAATACATTATTTTTACGATTTTGTTGCTAAATTATATGTAGTTAACAAGTTTTTTTGATAAATCGTCGATAATCTATCATCAAATAGAATTTTCGGTGAATTTTTGTTGTTGTTTTGCAATTATGTTGTTCGTGATAAATTATATGACTTCTAGAAGTTAAAATTAAGTTAATCATGATATAAATTAAACTTTTACGATTTATTTGATCCAAATAAAAAAAGAGAACGATATAATTAGTTCTAGCTTCGAAGACATTTTGTTTAGGAAAATTTATTTTACAAATCAAGTAAAGTTTTAAACCAGGAAATTTGGTGGTTTAGATTATGGATCAAATGAAGTATAAAAGTGGAATTTCCTTACAAACATTAAATTATCAAAGTAGGTTATCTCAAAGTCAAAACATAAAAATGAAAGTACTTTTAAATATGAGGAAAAAGTAGAGCTAATGATAATTACTTCATATTTAATTAGAGATTTCGAGTTCGATTTAAATATAATTTAATTTTAATACAGATATTAAATACCGAGCGGAAAAAAACAATGGCCACATTAAATTAAAAGCTTTTAATAAAGGTCTAGAGTTAGGTTCAAATTAAATATGTATGCTTAAAGAATACCCAATATTCTATCACCTAATCTTACCAATAACCTTATCTTAAATCAAGATTAGTGTCAATTATTTCTATTTTAAATATTAGCCCACCTTAAAAGTTAAATTTAATTAAATTTTTTTTTAAAATAAAAATAAAAATCGACAAAATATCAGGCCACAGATACAAACAGCTTTATCTATGATATCATTACCGACGTTTCTCTTCTTGCTTCCCTTTCATAGTAATAATTCCACTCATCCTTCTTCTCTTTTTCCAATAAATCCCAAAATATCAATCTTTTTTTGTTTAATTTTTTTCTGTTTATGTGTTAAAAATTAGAGTTTTCAGTTTTTCTGCAGAAAGTTATGTTGTTTCAGATCCCAATATAAATTTAAGCTTCGAATAGTAAAATCACTGGTTGGCTTTGTGATTTTCTTCATCAAAAATATACATCATATCAGAAGAAAATAGTACATAAAAGATTCTCTTTTTTTTTTCTCTTTCACCAGTGTTGCTGCTGCTGCTGCTGCTGGAGAGAAGAAGAAAAAAACAAAATTGACACAGATTTATATTTGTGAAGATTAACAAAAGAAAATAATATGCAACAAGAACAAAGAGGACTAGGGCTAATGGGTTCTAGTAGTACTACTGGTTTAGGTAGCGGTGATATTTCATCTATGATGATTTCTTCGGAGGATCGGAATTTGAATCATCACAATCAATTGAAAGGTGAAATTGCTACACATCCTTTGTATGAACAGCTACTTTCAGCACATGTAGCATGTCTTCGTGTAGCTACGCCGATTGATCAGTTGCCATTAATTGATGCTCAGCTCTCGCAATCTCATCATTTATTGAGATCTTATGCTTCTTCTCAACAGCAGCAACAACATCATTCGCTTTCTCATCATGAAAGACAAGAGCTCGATAATTTCTTGGTAATTTATTTTTGTTGTTTCAGATTTGTTGCAAATCTGAAATGGTGGTAGTGATGGAATATTTTTTTATTTTTTTTTGCAACAGGCACAGTATTTGTTAGTTTTGTGTTCGTTTAAAGAACAGCTTCAGCAGCATGTCAGAGTTCATGCTGTTGAAGCTGTTATGGCCTGCCGTGAAATTGAGCAGAATTTACAGCTTCTTACAGGTATGTTTGAGAACTTTATTTTTTTTTTAACTTTTAGCTTAACTACAATAATATTATCATAGTGTATATCAAGTCATTTAATTATACATAAAAGTAGAAATGGTTATTTGGATAATAGAGCAAGACAATAAGCTATATAGGCTATAGCAAGTTAAACTACCATTCTTTATATACTTAAAGGGGTTCATTTGGTAGAGGTATATGAATATTACTGAATAGAGTGTTTTGGTAATTATATAATATTGAGATTATTTTTTATTTTCGGTTTGATTTGATGTATTAAGGATAGCTCTGTCTTTAACCATGCTTGCTCATGTATATATTAAACACTTGTATTACCAATATCATGGTTTGCTACAAATTAATTAACACTCAATAATACTGAATAGGGTGTATTCATTATACACATATTGAAAATTCTATTCCTTTTGTTCCTTTTTATATATCATGCTTACTATAAATAGTTGGTCCATAATAATTGTCATTTCATAAAATCAATGCATAAATTATAATATTCTTCCTATTTTACCCTTGTTAGTTATTAACCTTGAAAATATACATTTGACCAACATAGAAAAACTAAGTGAATGATTCATGTTCATTGGTCAAATTAATTAATCAAAATAAACTGATTAAAAGTTGACTTAAAAAAAATTAAATAAGGATAGAATAATAAACTTACTTAATTTCTTAATGCACGTGAAATCAAAAATCGTGACATAAATAGAAACGGAGAGAGTACCAAATGGTGAAAAATAATAATCTCAACATAACTATTTCAGCATATACACTCTATCAAACGACCCTCAGGTATGTATCCCTCCATCTTAGCAAAACATGAATACCTGTGGGAAATATGTGAACCTCTTATAATGTGTTGATGTAATGCATGGTAATTAATCGAGTGAAGTTGTTCATGTTTGATGCTTAGGATATTTTGGACTTTGCAAAAATATTGTCGCATTCGTGTTGAATCCTTCACCCGATACGCACTCAATAATATTTTTGAAAAGTTCAAGCAACACAGATTTTGGGTTCTTGTTTGTGCCATAGTCCAAGTTTGAGAGTTGGGTGGTAGTGGGACCTAGAAAAGAAATTTGAAATATATATATATATATATATATGTAGTTGGAGAGTTTAGTTGGTTGGTGATGGAAGGAACAAATTAGAATAGGTAACAAACACTAACAACAGATGATTGATGAGAGGCTGCATTATACTATATAGTATAATATAACTACTTTAGAATATTGAGTTTCTAGAACACTTTATTATTTTTCTAGCTTAGTTTGTGACTTCTGATTCACTGCTTGGGATTAATCTAACAAACATATTGATTATTATTTTTTGCTTCCAACCATGTTTATATATATATTGTGTATATGATATGGTAATTAGCCAAATATAATTAGTGCCATCCACCTAAAAAGATGTTGTGTATTACTTGATAATTAAGTTACTAAATAAAAGGTTGGTTTTCCAACTTGAGCTGCTTTCCTCCACCATATTTTGTTAAGTATTCTTTCTGTTTCAATTTGTTTGTCTTATTCTCCTTTTTAATCTGTTAAAAAAATGTTTCTTTCCTTTTTTGACATCTAATTTCCGCATAACATGTTTAAGACCACAAAATTAAAGACATTTTAATGGCTCCATGTGCTCAAATTCATTATTTGGGAGGAGGACTCTTCTCTTGATGTCAAAAGACATTTTATTTATCTTTAATTTAAAACCTATTTTTCTTAATTACGTATCAAATTAAAACAAGACGAACAACGTAAAACGGAGGGACTATCAAAGGGGGACTAGTACTACTCATGTCCAAACAACTCATGCAGGTTTTACTACACGAGTTGTTAATGATATATTTTTATTATTATTCCTTCACCACATTTTGTTTACTATAAAAGGAGGACTCATGTCAATTATATAACCTACTATTTGGCAGCTAGAGAAAGCATTAGATGAAATAAAATACTCATTCCGTTTAAAAAAGAATCACATATCTCCCTTTTTAGTCTTATTAAAAAAAGTGATTCATTTCCTGTTTTGGTAACATTTTAATTTCAGTTTTTAACTCAACATGTTTAAGATCACCACAAGATTAAAGGACATTTTGGTACATTTGACATAACTTTATTTTGGACGACAATATTGAAAAGTTTTTTTTTTGTTTTCTTAAACTCAGTATCAAGTTAAACTAGGTCATTCTTTTTTAAACGGAGAGACTACGAAGTTAAGGGTTTGCCGCAAGATATGAGTCGCAATCCTTTTTCCTAATGTCATTTGTGAAATGGATTTAAGTTATTAAGAAGACAACACATTTTTTTTTTACACCATCTATTTTTTCAATCATGAGGACTATTCAATACATGCTTTACCTTTTATGCATGCATGTAAAAGCCAAAAGGTTAATGATAGTACTATTAGCTATTTTCTCAGTTTCAATTTGTTCGTTTTATTTACCTTTTTTAGCCTATTTAAAAAAGAATATCTCTTTCCTTTTGAAACGTTTTTTTTTTTGTCTTGATCAGGAGCAACCCTTGGAGAGGGAACAGGTGCTACAATGTCTGATGATGAAGATGAACTACAAATGGATTTTTCATTAGATGTATCTGGAGGTGATGCACATGACTTAATGGGAATGGGATTTGGTCTTCCTACTGAATCTGAAAGGTCTTTAATGGAGAGGGTCAGACAAGAACTCAAAATTGAGCTCAAACAGGTCATCTCCTCTAACAAGTTTTTTTTGTTTCTATTCATCTAGTATCCGATATCTACTAGCTATAACTAATTTAGATTCTTGCTGCATAAGGCTCGTTAAGAAAGAATTATACTAGGCATTTTGCTTTAGAAGTTTGACATAAATTTTCGCGAGTTATCCCTTCTAGGGAAGCTATTAATTAGTACATGACCCTCGTTTTATTTCTCTTTGCAACTTATGAACCCTTTAGATCATAATCTAAAGATCCGATTCATTTTGCTCAAACTTAAAATTTTAGATTATGATCTAAAATTTCGTATAATTAGTATAAATGTTAGATGACAGTCTAATATTTCCTTGTAAGTAATGGGTTGGGTTAATTTGGGCCTCCTTATCAGATTGGGCCTGTCAGTTGTGGGCTGAATCTGTCCAATTGACATGCATAGTTTGGATATCATAGTTATCATGGGCGGAGCTAGGGGACGTAAGAGGTTCATTCAAACCCCCTAATTTAGTACTATATATAAAAGGTCAAAATTATTTTTTATGTATGTATATAGCAGATGACGAATTCTTTTAAGTAATTTTTTCATATGTTTACTTCTTTATATTCTGAATCGCCTTGGTGAAAATTCTGGTTCCGCTGCTGATAGTTACCAAATGTTGGTTCTTGCAGGGATTTAGATCAAGAATTGAAGATGTGAGGGAGGAGATTTTGAGAAAGAGAAGGGCAGGAAAGTTGCCTGGTGACACCACTACTGTTCTAAAGAATTGGTGGCAACAACACTCAAAATGGCCTTATCCAACTGTAAGTTTTGTCACCTAATCAATTGATCATATGCCACGTAGACTCTCCAAAATTGTTGTTGCAACTCCTAAAAAATGTAAATACTACTATTTGAAGGATTCAACACGTATTCATATACATTTTTGAACAGTCTGAGCAACATAGATGACAAGTGAATGTTGTTATTAAAAAGCATAAATTCTTGCAGGAGGATGATAAGGCAAAACTTGTGGAGGAAACAGGATTACAGCTGAAGCAAATCAACAACTGGTTCATCAATCAAAGAAAGCGCAATTGGCATAGCAACTCACAGTCTGTGACATCTCTAAAGTCCAAACGCAAGAGATAAAAAAACAAACGTCAAAATCAAACAACACATATATAGGTATCATGATGGTTCTGAACTGTCAATTGTGATGTCTATGACATGGGGAAAATGTTAGGTAATTCGCGTAGTTTAGGACGGATTGTAATATATGGTACTCAGAATTGGTATACATATATGGTAGATTTGTGTTTTCAGTATACAAACTAACAGTACTTTTGAGCTCTTGAGTATTGACACTTTTTCCTGTAATGCTGGTAATTGTTTAGTATTTCAATGTTTTCTAAGTAGAAAAGTATCATACAAACAAACAGATAAGAGTATTGAAGATGTTATTTCAACTTTTTTTAGTATCTCAAACATGAAAATTGGAAGACATTTGTGTTCTTTTCTTGTTTATTTAGCACTTGTTATTTATATGAAGGTTAAATGTTGTAGAACTTAGTTTAAACCAAATAATCTCAGGCTCAACTACCAAGATATTGTCTGTTTTGGCCCGACCTATATGGGTAGACTCGAGGTTTTTGGGCCACACAGTTTTGTTTCTTGGGCTTTAACCCATAAAACGCCTCAAAAATTTGAATTCTAACCTTAGCATTATATGGCCTCTAATTTTCTTACATTTCGAATTTTCGCTGTGGGATAATATGTTATGAATCACTTGAAAATCGTTTAATTTGAACTAAGTTGAATATACAAAGAACTCTAAAATCTCCTCATTGGTTCTACAGTATATGATTTAGATAATTTGTTGTTTATATGTCGACTATTAGTTTCTATGTACAAGACTAATCAAGTCATACTTAATTGACTGACAACAATAAAGGCTTGCGAAACATTTTCCTTTTTCTTTCTATGAACATTTGTTATTTGACTATGAGTTGATTTCAAAGACTTTTTGTCATCAAATTCTTCTTAGTATCTAATTTCCAAAACTTAAAAAAATCAAAATTCTTAAAAAACTAGTAAAAACAAATCTAATTCATGTGAACTTTCTGTATCAATATCTTCACATGAAAGTTCAAAAAAAAAAATTAAAAAAAATTCATTACTTGCTTAATATGCACTCTTTCACGAGTTTCTAGATTAACTGTTCTAGTCACTATTAATGTACTAATATTTATTGTAATTAGAGAAAAGTCTTCCTAACCTACTACTAGTAGCAGGTTATTTGACACTTAAAAATCCAAATAAAAAAAATCAACAGATGTCATTTGAGCTAATTAAAATATGGGATTAGGGACTTTGAAACTAGTAACGTTTGATAAAAACGTTTGACCATCTTAACTACTGAGAAAATTCTTTGTTCAAAATTATCCATTTTTTTTGCATGTCTAAAAGTTAATTAAATGAAAATCACAAATTTTTATGATTCAAATTCTATGGCGAAAAAATGATTAGATGATGTTGAATTATATCCACCCTCTCATTTTATTCGATTCAAAAGAATCAAAACATCATATGAAAGCTTATAATTGCAAATCATGAGTGATAAATTAGACAGAAAAACTACATTTTTTTTATGATATCAATTTGGTCAATTGACTTAACATATAATAATACAAAAAGAAAAATATAAAAATGGAGAGAAAATATAGAGTTTCAAACTTTTCCTTTTAGGAAAAATATGGAAGACAATTACTCCCTTCATTTCTATTTATATGTCGTCCATACTGAAAATAAATGATCTTTTATATTTGTCATTTTACAAAATCAATGCATAATGACACTATTCAACTTATTTTACCCTTTGAAAGTTTACATTTGTTCAATATAGAAAAACTAAATAATTAATTTATGTTCATTGGTCAAATACTCAAATTAAATTAATTCATGTTTTTTCATTTAATAAAAATTTGACTCAAAAAAATATTAAATAAGAATTCTTTTAAAAATAAAATAAAAATACAATGATAAACTTAATTAGTTTTTTAAAAAGCGTGAAACCTAAAATGTTGACAACTAAATAAGAACGGAGAGAGTATTTCCCTTTCAATCCAATCAACTTCTTTGATCCATCCAACTATTTGTCTTCCTGGCGACCGCCACAGCATTAACGGCTGCCGGAGTATTAACACAAGAAGCTTCTAAGAAACACCTTTTTTTCTTTGAATTTTGCAGCCTACTTTTGGAATCTCATTACAAAGTGTAACTTTTTGGTTTAATTTGTACTAATTATAATTTATGGGTGCCTAATTCAAACTTTTCAAAAGTTCAAATCTTTCAAAACTAAATCCAAAAAATGGATTGCATGAGTTTAATACGATTATCTCTCTATTCAACTTGGTCTACTTGATTAATTATTAATTAATACAAACTCTAAAAGATCATTCTTGGTCCAACTTGTTCAACTCCATCTTCTTGTATCCTTTGTTTTCTCAGTTCCTTTCAGTTTCAGCAGCCCTTTTACCAAGTCAATTTTTTTTCGAAACCCCATTTTCCAATTTCAACTTTTTTGGTCTATATATCCTCTGGTACAACTTTTGCTCATCATTTCCCATCTGGGGTTTTGTTATTTTGGTTTGTCAAGCTTTCTTGCTGGTCTTTTTTCTCCATTCTGTTAATTTTTTCTTTGTTTGAGAAATTTCTGTTTTCAAGATTTGTTTTTTTGACTGTGGTTGTTGTTGTTATTTGAGTTAAAGTTGAGATCTTTACATTGATTGTGACTGATTACCTATTTTGGTGTATGCTCTGTCCTTACTGATATATATAATTTTGACTTTCTAAAAGAAGGTTGTTTTTATGGCTCAATTCTCTTATTCTGAATCTATGTCTGGAAGTTCACAACATGGGGTCCAGGTTGTCCCATTTAAGACATCAGCAGGATCACTTAGGGTATTGTTGTTGCATGGAAACTTGGATATTTGGGTGAGGGAGGCTAGGAATTTGCCAAACATGGATTTATTTCATAAGAAATTGGATAACTTGTTGGGAGGATTGGCAAAACTTGGTAGTAAAAAAGAAGGATCTCCTAAAATTACGAGTGATCCATATGTCACAGTTTCAGTATCTAATGCTGTAGTTGCTAGGACCTATGTGATTAACAATAGCGAAAATCCGGTATGGATGCAGCATTTTTATGTACCAGTGGCACATTATGCATCAGAAGTGCAGTTTGTTGTTAAAGATAATGATGTTGTAGGATCACAAATTATTGGTGCTGTGGGAATTTCTGTAGAGCAGCTATGTTCTGGTGCAATGATTGAGGGAACATTTCCGGTTCTTAATAGTAGTGGGAAGCCGTGTAAAGAGGGAGCTGTACTTACTCTATCAATTCAATTCACTCCAATGGAGAGGGTACCCCTTTATCATGGTGGTGTGGGGGGGGATCACGAGTATCAGGGCGTGCCTGGGACTTACTTCCCTCTTAGAAGAGGTGGCAAAGTAACACTTTATCAGGATGCTCATGTGCCTGAAGGCAGCCTCCCGAACTTGTGGCTTGAAAATAGAGTGCAGTATCAGCATGGACAGTGCTGGCAGGATATATTTGATGCAATCACTCAAGCTCGTCGGTTGATTTACATTACAGGATGGTCTGTCACCCACCTAGTTACACTTGTTCGGGATAATGACAATGCTGAGAAGAGTATGTTGGGGGAAATTCTCAAGAGGAAGTCCCAGGAAGGTGTGAGAGTACTGCTGCTCATATGGGATGATCCTACTTCTAAGAGCATTTTGGGATACAAAACTGTAAGTACTGTAAGTACCTAGAGACAGTTTTCTGTTGGGTTTTTTTACCATAGTATCATATCTCTTTTTTGCTTTCGTTGAGCAATAATAGTTAGGTAATCAAAAGAAAAAGAATTGAACTTTACTTGAGAAACATAGATAGAACACTTAACTCAGTCAATTGATAAAGGGGGAATCAAATCGCTGAATAATTTTTATCCATATGCCATTAAGGAATGAGCAATTAAATTAGTATAATCTAACATAGATTCTACCTACATTTCGGGTTGTTGAGTTTCATAAACATGTATTTCTTTGTAGCATGAATTTTACTCTACGTACTATCAAGATTGCACAACTAGAGCAGATATATCTACAGGATAATCATACTTTCATTGTATAACCTTAAATATTGTAAATTATTATCCTTTTGACTCTAAGTCAGTAGCTTTATTATACATAACAAAACTAGAAGCAGTACTATGAAAGAAGCCTTAATGAGTTCTTTGTGATATGTAGGAAGGAATAATGGGAACTAATGATGAAGAAACTCGTCGCTATTTTAAGCATTCTTCAGTGCAAGTGCTACTTTGTCCTCGTTCTGCTGGAAAAGGACACAGCTGGGCCAAAAAGCAGGTTCGCTTATCACTTATGACTTATGCATACAGTATTTAATTACCATTTCTGGGACTTTTGTATTTCCCAACCATATCATGTTAGCAACTGTTGTACTTGTGTCTCCAATTCTCACGGTTCTCGTGGCACTGTAATATAGATTGATCAGTAAATGGTGAAGTTTCCGAAGCTTATATTTACTCATGAAAATGGAGAATTTTGTTGAATGAGTATATTCCATTGTGTAGCTTCTTCTTCTTGCCTGTGTATTTGTTTCTGAAGTACTTAGTCTCTCCTGAGATTGGCTTAGGTACTGAACCACTTTGATTTTTGTCATCAGGAAACTGAAACAATATACACGCATCATCAGAAAACTGTAATAGTGGATGCAGATGCTGGTAATTACCAGAGAAAGATTATGGCTTTTGTTGGGGGACTTGATTTGTGCAAAGGGCGTTATGATACTCCAGCACACCATATCTTTAGAACGTTGCAAAATGTGCACAAGGATGACTTTCATCAGCCTAACTACACGGTAATATTTGAATATATTATGTCTATGATGCATTACTTTTGACTCAACTTTCTGCTTGCGTGACTAATTAAGTGGCGACTTTTCGATATAGTTGTCTTTTTCTCTATAGAATTCAGTACATACAGTCATACACCAAGTTTTTTGCTTCTTAACATGTGGCTTATTCCATTTGGTAGGTCAAACACTTCTATTACTGACCATTCCTCGGATAGTTCCTTTATGGCCTTATTTCATTAAATGTTCTTAAAGGACATATCTCTTGGGATTCCACATATAAATTATAGCCTTCTCTCTTCCCATGAGAAAATAGTAGCTTAGGTCTCAAACACCTAAACTTGGGAACTTATTGTATGATCCACAGTTTTGTTAATCCTCTAGTTTTGCCTTAATGATATAGAAGTGGAGGTTCTGCTGAAAGATGCAATCAGATAACGTTGCAACTCCCTCTGGAAAAGGTTAAGTGATGCTCAAAGAAGTCAAGTCACAAAATTTAGTTGTTATCTAGGCACTTGGTTGGATAGCTTCTTATAACAAGCAATTGAAATTTGATCTTTGTCATCCTGATCTGTTTGTTACGTGTATCTTTTCTTGAACTTTGGCAGGGCCCTACTACTGGTTGTCCTAGAGAACCTTGGCATGATTTGCATAGTCGGATCGAGGGGCCTGCTGCATATGATGTCCTAAGTAACTTTGAGGAGCGCTGGTTGAAGGCTTCAAAGCGCCATGGACTTCAAAAGATGAAAGCTTCACATGATGATGCATTACTCAAACTTGACAGGATTCCTGATATTTTGGGAATAGCTGATGTCCCTTGCCTAAGAGAAGATGATGCAGATACATGGCACGTCCAGGTACTTAGGAGTTGAATCTACCATTGCTTGTTAAGTTGCCTTTTGATTTCCCCCGACTAACATTGTTACGCGTGCAGATTTTCCGGTCAATCGACTCCAACTCTGTTAAAGGTTTCCCCAAAGATCCCAAAGAAGCCACTAACATGGCAAGATTTTGCTTCTAAATGCTTCAATATATAAAACACATGCCAACTATATATCATAAGCTAACCAATGTGTTGACCATATCCTGTAACAGAACCTAGTGTGCGGTAAGAATGTGCTGATAGACATGAGCATACATACTGCCTATGTAAAGGCAATTCGAGCTGCCCAGCATTTCATCTACATCGAGAATCAGTACTTCCTAGGATCTTCCTATAATTGGAGTAACTACCAAAATTTAGGTGAGGACTCAAATACTTTTACGGGGAAACAGATTTCTTATTCTTTTAATGAACTATGAATCAATCTCTCTCGAATATTCTCCACATAAATCAGTCTAATATCACAAGTGACTAGACAGTCCATGTGAAAAAAGATTTGTGTAATTGTTCCGTATCTTATTCACTGCTCCACTCATTATTATATTTGAACTGCTGAAGTCAAACCCACTTCTTGTATGGCAATTGTGAAGTCAAAGTTGTCTTTTTATCGTTCATCATGACGTATGTGAAAGTAAAGAATTACTATATAGTGATTGTAAATCTTCTTTCTATCTCTAGGTGCAAATAACTTGATACCAATGGAAATTGCTCTAAAAATTGCCAACAAAATACGAGCAAATGAGAGGTTTGCAGCATATATAGTTCTTCCTATGTGGCCAGAGGGCAATCCAACCAGTACCGCTACTCAGAGAATACTTTTTTGGCAGGTATATTCTAGTCCATAGTTTCTGTGACATAGTCTTCGTCATGCAAAATGTGATTGTAGTAATCTGATATATGATGTAGTTATTGATTTCTTCTTCTATAAATTACTAGTCCTTTTTTTTTCTCATAAGACAAATTAGTTCTTTGTCCCTTCAAGTGTTTCTTACCCAACTTAAACAGCTGACACATACCGTTTACTGTGCTTCGATATCTTTAGGCCTAATTGCATGTTAGAGTAGCATTCAGATTTTGCTGCATATTTTATGCACTTCATAACCTATGTTGTTTGTATTTGCAGCACAATACCATGCAGATGATGTATGAAACTATTTACAAAGCTTTACAAGAGGTAGGACTGGAAAACACATATGAACCCCAGGACTATTTGATTTTCTTCTGCCTTGGCAATCGTGAGGTTCCGGAAAATGGAATAACTACAGTTGTCAGAAGTTCGAAGCCAAATACACCTCAGGTAATCGACTGTTCCTCTGACTATGCTAGCTTGTTTTTCATCATTCTCCAATAATTATCAGGCTCTGATCTTTGTTATTAATGTAATTCATCCTTATTCAGGAACTCACTCAGAAAAGTCGTCGTTTTATGATCTATGTTCACTCAAAAGGAATGATTGTAGACGATGAGTATGTCATATTGGGATCTGCAAACATCAATCAACGTTCTCTGGAAGGCACCAGGGATACTGAAATTGCAATGGGCGCGTATCAGCCTCATCATACATGGGCCAACAAACATGCTGGACCACATGCGCAGGTAAATTTGGAACATTTCTTGTACTGTCGTAATTTTCTCCTTTTAACCTCTTAATGCATTTTGTTCCAAGAAGTTATATTGTGTGACTCAGTTGCTATTACATCTCGACTGCAGATATATGGATATAGGATGTCACTGTGGGCAGAGCACACGGGAACTCTAGAGCAATGCTTTGAGCATCCAGAGAGCCTTGAATGCGTGAGACGGATAAGAGTATTTGGTGAACACAACTGGCTACAATACGCGGCTGATGAAGTAACTGAAATGAAAGGCCACCTTCTTAAGTATCCTGTTGAAGTTGATCGAACGGGGAAAGTCAAGTCACTTCCTGGCTGTGAAACTTTTCCAGATATCGGAGGGAAGATAATAGGTACATTCACCGGTGTTCAAGAAAATCTCACCATCTGATCTAAGGGATTTTCAAGAATCCTCATTCTGCAGCCTGAGATTAATTCTTTTATATTGTTTCTGCACCATAATGAACTGGTGTTTGCCTAGTGTTGGTTATACAAACTAGAATGAAAAAAAGAAGGTGTTTTTGTATTTTGATGATTTTGACTCAGAGAGCGATTTCTCACTTGTGGAACTATACCGAGTATGTTATTGTTGAATCGACAACTATTGAAAAGAAAAGTCTTTATTAGTAAAGTGATAAAAAATGAGCTTGTAGTATCTCATCAACAGAGCATTTTTTTTTGTTTTTTGTTTTCATTAGAGTGGCTTTATAATATCCTACAGGTAGAAGATTGGATTTTCACCAAAAGTGGTCAACTCTTCAAATGTTTGGCGCATTATTCCTCGCAAGATGTGGCAAAGCACCAAATGCAAACCATGAATGCACATTTTGATGCTCCAACAGGATTTCCCCCATATGTAAGGCTCAAATTTGAGACCTCTGATTAAGGTGGAGCAGTTCCATCACTGCACTACAACTCATGCTAATATATATACAAACTAGAATGAAAAAAAGGTGTTTTTGTATTTTGATAATTTTGACTCAATAGTGATTTTTCCTACACCGAGTATGTTGTTATTATTGAATCGACAACGATTGATAAGAAAAGTCTTTATGAGTAAAGTGATCAAAATTGAGCTTGTAATATTTCACCAACAGAGCATTTTTTTGTTTTTGGTGGAGCAGTTTCATTACTGCACTATGACTCATGTTGGTATATATTTTAAGTTCATTGGGGGTTGAAACAAGAATAGAAAACTAATTTTTAATATTCCTCAAAGAAAATGGAATCTTTGGAGATCTGTGCAATAATATATAAAATCAGATATTTAAAATTTATAAAATAAATATACTGAGTTCTTTTTAAAAACTTCTAGGGTTACTAATTTTCTAATAATTTTTTTTGTTTATTTGAAAAAGACAAAAGGTTTGCAGTTTTTCAAAACCAATTTCTCTTAGTCTACTATCATTAGAAATAGATTTTACCTTAACATGAGTATCCCCATAATTATTTTCTTAATCATAAAGAAAATAAGAATATTATTTTATTAGATAATTACAGTTAATTGAGTCACCGTATATTGAATATATTAAATTATTGTTCAAGAAATTATTCATTAGTCCTATATTAAATTATTGAATAACTAGCTTCTTCAAAATTAAAAAAATAATAAAAACTTCATATCGAGCAATAAAAAGAAAAATGGTTTATGCATTAGGCATTCAAAACTTATTATCCAATACTAATCTGCCTTTGCACCATGTGCAATTAAGCTAAAAAAAAATCACTCTTTATTAAGGATCTATCTCCTAGAACTAAAAATTAAACAAATAATATATTCAGTATAATTCATCAAAATAGAATATGAAGAAAGTAGAGTATATACAGATTTGACTGTTATTTCATAGAAAGAGAAATTATTTCTAATAGACCCTCGACTTGAGAATTAAAATTCAAAATTAAACTTTAAAAGATCATTTTAATTGTATTATATGTTCGTTGAGTATGTTTTTTGTTAACTATAAATCAAGGATTTTAAAGTTTGAGGAAAAAATATTGTTACTTTCACATATAGCAAACATAAAAATCATATTTGTATCTATAGATATAATTTGCATAATTGCGTTCTATAGCAAACTTTATGTTTGATATGGCTATTAATATGTATATTTCACTATACATATACAAAAGAAGCAATTGTATAATCTGTTTCGATCTACATATACAAAAGAATCAATTGTATAATCTGTGTTTGTATAAAGCGAGAAAGAGAGAAAGACAAAAGAAAACTGGACAAGGAAAGATCTGTATTTGTATAATTATAAGTGTATAGGACAAAAATATATGTATTTATATTTGTATATACAATTTTCTCTCGCTTTATACAAACACAAACTCAATTTATACATTTGTGTTTGTATAAAGTGAGAGAGGCGAGTGAGAGTGGCGAGCGAGATCTAGGAGAGAGGGGAACGAAAAGATATGTATATATACAATTTTCTCTCGCTTTATACAAACACAAACACATTTTATACATTTGTGTTTGTATAAAGTGAGAGAGACGAGGAGAGACTGCCCAGCGAGAAACGAGAGTGGCGAGCGAGAAATTCAGGGAGAGAGGCGAAATGACAACAGTTTGCTACGGGTTACAATTAAATCAAACTGTGATTATAACATTTAATTTGAATTAATAATTTGTTATTTTATATAATTTTCCCTTAAAAGAAAACCCAATTTTTTAACTGTAGAAATATTTTAGAATTTTGAATTAAATTATTCAAGTCTTCGTAAGTCTTATCAAATTGCATTAATTCTTATTAAAATAAATAATGATATTACTATAATATATTTCTTATAAACATTTATATCTTATAAAATACGATACTATAAATAACAAGGAAAAAAATGTGGATTAATTATTCCAATAACAAAAAGTGATTATAACTTTTTGCATATGTGTGCCTATATTATATAGAAGTTATTTGTCACGATCCAACTCACCGGGCCGTGCGGGCACCTACATACTACTACCTTAGTAGGAGAACCCTCATAACCGAACATTTAAAACATGTGGAAAATTAAATAAATGGAAATAACGTACTAACAGAATTCTTTATTAAAAACTTTTAAAACAATTTCGTTAAGGCTTGTAAAGTAATTAACACTTCCAAGAATCTAGTCTAAACAGGTACAAGAGCTATTAAGAGTACAACTGGACATGATAATTGAAAGACACAGCTCCCACCATACAGAAGGAAGAATAGAAGCTGTTGGAGATTTTCTTCGTCTTTACCTAATAAAACCTCACCAATCCTGCAACCAGACTATGCCAAAAAGGCACATTTATGACTTTATATCCTTATTCTTGAAACAATTCTATCCGAGATAGCAATTCTAGAATCCCTAACAAGTAATCAATTTCTCTTCTCAAGATATAAACCCAATTACTTGATTTCTAGAAATTACCCATGGAATTCACTCGGTGTACGAAGGTCTACACATAAACCTTACCATTGATTTACATATATTACGCAAGGAGCACATATTTAAACTACTCAATTCATAAAACCTAGCCTACCTGGGCGCCAAGTAGTTGCACAGAGTTTTTGACTTCGATTCCGGGAATTTGGCCAAGAATCCGCAAGATATCACCATCCTCCTAGAAATTTTCTCCTTCCTTCCCAAGCTTAGAGCAGCTTTTCTGAGGTTTCTGGGTGTTTTACGATTTATTTAGGTATTTTAGAAAGATGTAGAAAATAGGATTTCTCGTAATTTACGTTCTGCCTCGCCTATCCCGCTCTGGCGTCAACTTACCCCGCTCTGGCGGGACAATGGCCTAGATTTTCCCGAATTTTTGTTTCTCCTAAATAATGACGGTTTGGATCGTTACAATATACATTAGGCAAATTAAAAATAATATGTCTATGTACGATGATTTCTGAAATGTTAAACTAAAATTAGTAGTTTAAAAGAATTAAACTAACATGGACCATTACTACTTATAATATTTGAACAAAATAAATTTAATATAGGACTCAAACACATAAAATAAAATAAAAATTCTATTAGGGCCATAGTGATAATAATACATAAATATATTGTCTGATTTGGTAGCTTCATAATTTCCACAATGAGTTGTTCTCATGTCTCACCCACATATATTGTTCAAATAAAGACATCACTCCTTCCCACGTTAAATCCAAATTTTTGAGTGACCGCCTAAATTTTTCATTAATACAATCTTGGCATTTATTTATTTCTTACGTCTACTTATATAATTTATAAATTTATATATTATTTTACAAATTAAGGATAGAATGAACATTATTAAATTAAAATTACTCTACTAAATATAGAAATGTGTTTTTTTTTTTTTTGAACGAACTAAAAAATATATCATATAAATGAGACTGATAAGTAATAATTATAGTGTCAAAAAAACAGTACTGTACATGAATTTGAACACAAGACTTCATAATTTTCAACTTGACTATTAGATTATACTCTTAGATGTCATTAGTAATTATCAATCATCTGCATAGAATTTAGATTTTGAATATCTAGATTTGAATTTCAAATTATTGAATCAATCTAATCTAATTTAGTTTTAAAAATTAGTTAAATTGACTTTTGCGAAGCAAAATGATGGTTGTTACGTGGTGTTTCGTATATTGTATTGCTTTAATGAATATAATATTCAGATAGCTTGTATCATTCTCTATCGTAACATAATTCTACATATCAATAATTTGAATAATAAATCTTCAAAAAAATGTATTCTATTATAAACAGACATGGTAATATGATTATTAAATAATAAATAAAGACAAACTATGAAAAAATATTAAAGAGATGATGTAATAACACCAAATGTATTGTTAAATAAAATGAGACTTTTTAAGTAACCATCAAAATTAAGCAGACACTTCTTTTAACATTTTCACTAAAGTGACATTTATTTTGAAACGTAACGATTATACAATATTAGTAGTGACTTCCTATTTTAGATCTGTCTATGCTTCGTCCATCCACCTGTTGTTGCTATAAACCGTGTATATAAATACTTCATTTTCTTCACCACTTTCATTCTCTTTCGAATACCATTTTTCTCTTTCTCTTACAAGATTTACTCTTTGTCTTTCCATTATGGGTTTCCCAGCTAATGGTTCATCACAAGATAAGCCATACAAGTTCTTGATCTATGGCAAAACCGGTTGGATTGGTGGCTTACTCGGTAAGCTCTGTGAAGCTCAAGGCATAGAATACAAATACGGGTCGGGTCGATTAGAGAATCGGAGCTCCTTAGAGTCCGACCTCACCACCGTCAAACCGACCCATGTGTTCAACGCCGCCGGTGTTACCGGCCGGCCAAACGTTGACTGGTGTGAATCCCATAAGGTGGAGACCATCAGAGCTAATGTGGTCGGCACGCTGACGCTTGCTGATGTTTGTAGAGAGAAAGGGTTGATCCTTATCAACTATGCTACTGGGTGTATTTTTGAATACGATTCGGGTCATATATTAGGGTCGGGTATCGGATTCAAGGAAGAGGATACTCCTAATTTCATCGGATCTTTCTATTCAAAGACTAAAGCTATGGTGAGAATTAACTCACTGATTACTTATGTTCTCTGATCTAATTGTGTTTTTGAGATCTGTTTAGCTAATGCATTTATGGATCTATG